GTGTGCCTCGTTTATCTGAATATCATTTCCTTTTCCTGTGCTTGGGAAGTTTTCTTTAATTATTTCTCTGAATAGCCTTTGTATTTCATTTGTGTTTATCCTTGCTTCTTCACTCACTTTTTTTTTTTTTTTTTTTCTTTTTGTCTTTTTGAGACAGTGTCTCACTACGCAGTTCAGGCTAACCTTGAGCTCACTTTGTAGCCCAGGCTGGTCTCGAACTTGCAATGATCTGCCTGCCTCAGGCCTCCTGAGTGCTAGGATTACAGGAGTGCACCGCCATGCCCGGCTTTTTCACTCACATTTTTTTTTTTTGGTCTTTTTCGTTTTTATCGGTACCAGGGATCGAACTCACGACTGCCTGCTTGCAAGGCAGGCACTTATGCCGCTGAGCTAAATCCCCAGCCCCCTTCACTCACATTTTTTATTCATAAGTAATAGATCCTCTTGTCATCTTCTAGCCTTTGTATTGTTACTTCCTGTCTCCTTGTTATTTTTATGAGATCTTTCCTTTTGCAATCATACATTGCAAACCTGTCTTCAAGTTTTGATAGTCTATCTTTAGTTTCTTTCAAGCAATTTTGCCAGCTTTCAATGGAGTTTTTAACTTCCTGGTAATCTCTTTGAATCTGTTTCATGTATTCTAGGTTTTTTTGAATATTCTTCATCAAAATTTTCCTTCCTTTTTCTATGCTCCTCTATTCTTCCATCTGTGTCTTGAGAGGGCTTAGCATTTCTTTTATTGATCTTCTTATATCTTGCTTTACTTGTATTAGTATTTCTGTTTTGAGTTCTTCTATAATGTCACAAAGATATTTATGTCAGCTGATGCTGTTTCTGATATTGCACGTTTGCTGTTCCTAATCTCTTCTGTGTTTACCTCTCCTGGATCCATATTCCCTGGGTTGGCAGCTGGAGATTTTTTCTTGTTTCTTTCTAGTCTTGTTTCTGTTTTTTTTTTTTCCCAGGCCTTTTCTGTAATGGTTATGGTTACTCTGAAGTGTGCTGGCTACAGATTGCTGCTCTCTCCAGTTTGCTGTTTATCACTGAGGTACGAGTCGGGCAGTTAGACTGGCCCCTCCCTCTGAGCCAGTCAACCTCCAGGGGTCTTCACCACGTTAGTGTGTGCCATGCAGATGGAACTGGTTTGGGACAACTTCAGGGGCAAGTTCGTCCCTGGCTATTGGATCCCGCTCAGGGGTGGGATCCAGTCCAAGCCATTTCCACCAGTCTGTTCCTTGCCAGGAGCATCCAACTGAAGCTACTACAGTTCTGAATTCAGGCCCATCCTGTCTGATTTCAAGATGTCACTCAGCCAGACTTCCTTTCCCATGGGAGAACCAAATTCCAAGCACTCACCATGGGCCAGTGCAGATCTCCAAGCTGGCTCTGTTCTCCATTGTGACCCTTTTCTCACGGAGGGCCCTGGGCTTGCCAACCCTCAACTTCAGTGTAATTGCAGGTTGGACCGGCTCCAGTGAGAGCACCATGACCATGAGTCCGACCGACTCTGGTGAGAGCGCAATCTGGCTCCAGCCTTCTGTCTACATTTTTCTTTTTCCTTAGTTTCTTCCTGGATCATGAGAATCCCTTTCCTTTTGTCTGGTCTTCTCCATGCTGTTAAATTCTAGCATCTGAGCTGTTTCTCTAGGAGAGGTTCTTTACCTTGCTACTTATCTATCTGCCATCTTGCTCTTCCTCTATATCTACTTTGAAAACTTGTATTCTAATAAGACAGAAAATACAGAATAAATAGACAGATTCCAACATACATATGAATTATCAAAGCTGAATCAAGAAGATATAAAAATCCTAAATAACCCAATATGAATAAAGTAAGATTGAAGAAGTAATTAAAAATCTATCAACAAAGAAAAGCCCAGGCCCTGACAGATACACTGCAAGATATTCTGCAAGATATTTAGAGAACACATAAGACCACTACTTCAAAAACTCTTTATTGAAATTGAAAGGGAAACAGTACTTCCAAATTCATTCCTGGAAGCAAGAATTATCCTGATACCAAAATCAGAGAAGGGCCCAACTGAGAAATACAATTATAGGCCAGTCTCCCTAATGAACACCAATGCCAAAATCCTCAGTAAGACACCTGCAGACTGCAGTAAATAATCATGAAAAGTGTATGACATGATAAAGTGGGACTTACCCCAAGGATGCAGGTATGGTGCAACGTATGTACATCCATAAATATAATACACCATATTAACAGAGTCAATGACAAAAATCATGTGATCATCTCAATAGATGCAGAAAAAGCTTTAGACAAAGCCCAGCACCCATTCATGATAAAAACCCTACAAAAATCCTGGAATACATTGTCTTTATCTCAATCTGGTCAACAGCCAACATCATACTAAATGGAGAAAAACTGAAAGCTTTTGTTCCAACATCAGGAACAAGATAAGGATGTCCACTGTCTCCACTGCTACTCAACATAGTCCTGGAAACATTAGCTGGAGCAATTAGACAAGAGAAAGAAATAAAAGGAATAAAAATAGGAAAGGAAGAAGTTAAATTATCTTTATTTGCTGATGACATGATACTCAGAAGTATCATGATACTCAAAAACTCCACCAAAAGACTCCTAGATTTAATAATCAAATTCAGTAACATAGCTGGTTGCAAAGTCAACACTGAAAAATCAGTAGCCTTTCTGTCCACCAATAACAAACTTGCTGAGAGAGAAATTAGGGAAACAATATCTTTTACAATAGTGTGCAAAAACTGATATACCTAGGAATCAATCTAACAAAGGAAGTAAAAGTGAAAGACCTCTACACTGAAAACTGTAGTACTCGGACAAAGGAGATTTGAAGAAGGTATTAGAGAATGGACAGATTATCTTGTGCTCTTGGATAGGAAAAACCAATATAGTGAAAATGGCCATACTTCCAAAACTGTTCAGAGTCAATGAAATCCCAATAAAATTTCAAAAACATATCTTACAGAATTAGAAAAAACAATCCTAAAATTCATCTGGAACCAGAAATGACCTAGAATAGCAAATGCAATCCTGGGTAAGAAAAACAAGACAGGGTGCATCACAATCCCTGACTTGAAATTATACTATAAAGCTACTGTGATAAAACAGTGTGGTACTGGCAAAAAAACAGACCTGAAGACCAACAGAACACATCAGAACATGCAGAAACAATTCTAGACATACTAAGCACCAAAGATGCCAAACACATTCACTAGAATAAAGTTAGCCTTTTTAATAAATGATGTTGGAAAAATTGGCTCTATACATGCAGAAAAAAGTTAAAAACTGGACCCGTATCTTTCACTATGTACCAAGCTAAAATGAAAAAGGACCAGAGATCTTAATATTGAAATAGAAACATTAAATCTGCTAGAAGACAGACTAGGTAAAACTCTTGAAGACATTGGAGTAGGCAAAGACTTTATGAACAAAACCCGGATTGCATAGGGACTATCATAAGAAATCAACAACTGGAATATCACCTTACTGAAAAGCTTTTGTGCAGCAAGAGAAACCCTCAATAGAGTGAAAAGACAACCTATAACTTGGGAGAACATGTTTTCCAGCTGTTCCGCAGACAAAGAATTACTATCAAGAACACATTAAGAACTCAAAAAAATAAGTCCTGCCAGATTTAAATACCCCATTCCAAAAATTAGCATTTGAGATGAACAGACACTTTTCAGACAAAGAAATACAAACAGCAAATAAGTATGTGAAAGAATGTTCAACCTCACTGTTCATGTGAGAGATGCACATTAAAACAACACTGAGATCGCACCTCCCCCAGAAAGAATGACTACTATCAAGAAGTCAAGCAATAACAAATGCTGGAGGAGCTGTAGGGAAAAACGAATCCCTCTCTATGTGAGTGTACAGACTGCTATAACCACTGTGGAAATCAGTGAGGAGATTCCTCAAAAAAAATAACTAAGATTGGAGGTCCTATTCAACCCAGCTATTTTCCTTCTGAGTATCTTCCCCAAAGAATTAAAAACATAATACCACATAAAACCCCTGTTTATAGCACCATAGTTTGTAATAGCCAGCTCTTGGAAGCAACCTAAATGCCCACCAACTGAGGGATGGATAAAAAGATGTGGTATTTTTGTACAATAGAGTATTAGTCAGTCATAAAGAAGCTGAAAGAAAAAAACATATGTATATGTTTAAATGTATGTATGTAAAAAATTGTTAAGATAGTTATACTACTGAATTCTCTGAGTTCACTGAAGAGAAAGATTTTAGTTCAATTGAATGTAGATGTCTCATGCTGTGGGTGAATGATTTAGAGATGATAATGCATAATGTATGTACCACTGTTGCCCCTGATTGGCGTGTTTTGAAATTTTGTTGAAGTTTTGTTTCTTCTTTTTTATTTTTTCTTTTTATCCTTGAAATAATATAGATTTTTTGGGGAAAAAAAGAGAAATAATCAAGAAAACAACCAACCACAACAACAAACAAAAGGGTAAAAGACTGACAAAGACACTCTCTATGACCAAATTTCCGAACTATACTTTCATTCTCGAGTCCTGTCGTTAGTTTGCCGAATTCATTTATAGGGAGTATTCTGTCAAAACAATATGCCAAGTCAAAAAGGCCAGGCATAAAAAGTATAAACTCTGTAATTCCACGCGGGTGAAAATCCAAGAGGAAGCACAGTTAATTTCTATGGCAGAAATCCGAAGGGCTGTCTTTGGGAGAGGTGCTAAGGAGTGTTCTCTAGAAAGGCACAGGAGAGGACTGGTGCAAGTGGCATTTACCTTGTTTTAAGTGACAATCTAGTGGATATGTAAGACTGTTAAAATTCTGTAAATTCAACACTTAAAATTTATGCATTTATTGTAAATTTCAGTACAACACAAATCATTTATCACAGAAGTGGCAAGGAGTCTATATTAAGTCTTAAGTACTGTAAAGGTCCTTCACAGACTTAATGCAACAAGTTAAAACATAGCCACCAACTACACTTTTTTGGAAATTTTTTTTTACTTACCCCAAGAATATACTGACAGGAATGAGGCTCTAGCATATACACAGTAACAGCATGAGGAGAGTCTGATTCTTTACACCTATAAGAGACGTAATTTAACGTACTGCCACATCATATGAGATGATTTTTTAATAGTAATCTTTTTCTTTTTCTTTTTGCAGTACCTAGGATTAAACTAAGGCCCTTGCAAGTGCTAGGCAAATGTTCTACCATAAAGCCACAACCTCAGTAATAGTTGTACTCTTTGGTTTTTTGAGACAAGGTCATGCCATGTAGTTCAGGCTGGCCTTGAACTCACTATGTAGCCAGGGTGGCCTCAAACTTGCAGCAAACCTCCTGCCTCATCCTCTTGAGTGCTGTGATTATAGGTATGCAACACCAAACCCGGCCTAATGATAGTCTTTTTTTTCCCCTAATGATAGTCTTAAATTATAGACATTCAATTAAAATGGGTGGACTTAGAATAGTTTAATTAAAACAATTTAATAACTATTTGTAATTATATTTTATATTTATATATGATTTCTGTCTACAGGAAGCACATAAAAGAGAAAGGCATAAAGCATGATTTGATGGTTCAACTTACTTTAGTTTTACAGTCACCTGTCTTGGTTTGTCAGTTATATCACAAATATCTCCATTTCCATAAAAATGTGAGACCATCCTGAATCAGAGAAACATACAAGCTTTATTAAACTAAAACCTCACTAATTCTGAGTAATTGTAATATACACTGTGAGAAGATGGTTAGGGTTTTTAGGGTTATGTCAGAGCGTCTTTCAGATTCTATAAGGAGACTATAAATTAAAGATCATTTGTATTGTCTTAACTTTTTCAAGTTGCATATTATTTGTATAAGCACAGTTAAGGTTAGACTCCTTTAAAAAAATTGTTTTAAACTGGGTGTGGTGATGCATACCTGTAATTCCAGTGCCCAGGAGGCTGAGGTAGGGGGATTGTAGCAAGTTTGAGGTCAGTTTGGGCTACATAGTAAGTTCAAAGCTGGCCTGGACTACATAGCAAGACCCTGCCTCAAAAAACTCAAAAAAGTTATTCATTTTCCCAGCTAAGTCAGTATATTCTTTGTTTCTAATTACTATTATGTTAATTTTATTAAAATATTGTACTGTAGGTGGCACAGAAAGTAAGCCGAGTCAAGTTATGACTGTCAAAGGAGTGGTATATTCTAGTCTCACCTCCTTCGCTTCAATACTTTTTGCATATGACTCATAAACTACTGTCATATGAGGCGTACATGAACAGGTTTAATATATCCAAATACTTGAATTTTTATACAGTAATCGCACTAACTCAGTATGGTACATTCTGAAAACACTCTCTTAATACTGTCTGTTCTAGGAAAGACAAAGGGACACCTGAGAAGACACAAGAATGAACAATTTAAAATACAGTGGGTAAGGTACACAACATGCTAAAGCTGATTTCTTTGGAAATGAGATTCATTTCCTTCTGGTATAACAAAATATACTCACATAACCCCAGAGATGTGCAGCTGCTTTTCAAAAAGTCACTGTTCAACTATTTCCAACCATAACGTTACAAAAGTAATACGGGGAACTATTAGAGTACATTGAAACGAAATTAACTATTTTAAGATAAAGATTACACATAACAGAGGAAATGCTTTATGGAACTGAGGCCCTGTCACTAACACCACACCTTCATTAGCATACTGTCACCACTGTTAAAGGCAGCAGCCCAAATTTACTGCATGCCAGGCACCATCCTATAAACGAATTATCTCACAATAATCCTAGTGGAGTCCAAAGGTCATTAAACAAGAAGAGGGAGGTGTATAATGACTCCATAGCTCACTGGAGGTATGAAGTGGGGAGCCAGCTAGCACTTGAGTGGAAAGACAATGATCTTAACTCTCACACTGTGTTGTTTCTCCTCCAAAAGACGACTAATTTAAAGATACCACTGAAAAAAATCCAAGTCTGACCTGGGATTTTACTTATGTGTTTAAATTTTTATGTTTATCAATATTCTGAGTTCTGAAAATTCCACTAATCAGATCCAAAGGCAAATGAAGTTGGTCTTTACCTGACTATCTGGGTCCCATCGTCCTGAAGCTGGTATGCTCTGGCAGTGTTCTTCTTTGCCCACTCAATATGTTCTTCTTGATTCCAAGTCCCCACAACCACAGAAGTTTTTCCACTATCCTTGTCCTAAAACAAAACATTTATGCAGATTACTGAGCATCCTCTAAACCCACGTCTTCATTTTCTATTTGCATACCTGACTTCTATTTTTTAAGGTAATGGTAATAAGCAAACTCAGTGAGTAGAAATCTATTTTCTTTATTGTTTATTTCTCTGAATAATATAACTAACCTCTAGTCTGGCTAGCTCTCAATACAGTTATCTTCGACTCAAGCTTTTCCTCTCCTGTATCAGTTACACCAACTCTTCCTCTACATTTGTACTCCAGCACACCCTGTTTACACCAACCAAAGTTCGGTCTTTCATACCTAGATTGTATAATCACACACTGCTGTGGTGTGAGTATGTGTTTGTGTGTGTGTGCATGTGTTGGGGACTGAACCCACGGCCCTTAGGCAACTATTATTACCACCGAGCCACCACCTCGGGCACAGTACTGTTATCCTTAATTACATCTTTGTTCTCTACCTCTGTTGCTGTGCTTGGGAGGCAGGGTGTGACAGGAAGCATCAGGCCCAGGGCCGCATCCTGAGGAATGGACTAATGCTGACTCTGAAATGGCTGAAAGCTTTGGGTTTCACCTTTCACTCTCCCACCTTCTTGCTTTCGTCTCACTTCTTGCTTAAGTGGGACGAAGGAGACAGTTCTTGCCAGATGCCGGCACCGGGGCTTCCTAGCCGAAGGAACATGAGAAATAAATCTCTTTGCATCATAAATTACCTAGTCTTATCCAGGTCAGTTGCAAGTGAGCAAGGCACGCCTGAGCTACATAGTGAGATCATGACACAAAATAAGAACAAAAAATAGAAATCACCTGGATTGTGAAAGCAACACCAAGAGCATTTCATTCCGCGGGGCCCACTTTCCCACTTCTATTCTCGTCAGTGGAAAACTTCAGGTTACGTGGTCATCATCTTTTTTTCAATGTTGGTTTCCTTACTACTCACTTGACTCTGTTTAATTCTATGTTAAAATTATCTGTCCAGAAATTCCCTCCCTTGTACTGTTTTTATCATTTTGTTTCAATTCCTTTCTTCCCTTCCTTCATATTTTATGCCAGGGTCCCAAGGTAGGCAATAGTATAGTTCTTTTTCTTTCTTTTCTTTTCTTTTTTTTTTTTTTTACAGTAATGGGGATTGAATCCAGGGCCTTGCTTATGTTAAGCAAGCACTCTGGCACTGAGCTATATAACTCCCCAGCACATTTTTTTTGAGACGGGATCTTACTAAGTTGCCCAGATGGTCTTGAGCTCATGATCTTCCTGCTTAACACTGTGGACTGGGAGTTACAGGTATGCCCCAACAGGAAATTATATACTTCTGGTTAGTATACTTAAAAATCCCTTAGAGTGCTGGGCCACTGTTCTGGTAGAAATTACTTCTGGTAGAAATTACTGAAGACATAGCTTTTATACATTTTTTCAATACTAGACCTAAGCTCCTAGACAGGGAGTAGAGCAGCAAACCGAGTGTTTAAGAGGCTGTATGGAGAGCAGGACTGTTTGGTTTTGAACTGTAATTTTACCATTTACTACTTATTTCTCTTTTTTTTTTTTTTTGTCTTTTCCCTTTTTTATCGGTACCAGGGATCGAACTCACGATTGCCTGCTTGCAAAGCAGGCACTTATGCCGCTGAGCTAAATCCCCAGCCCCCCCATTTACTACTTATGTGATTTTTGGCAAGTGACTTACTATATCTTTCTTTTTTTTTTTTAATCTTGGAATAACAATACTTACCTCTTAAGGCTGTTTTGAGGGTTAAATGAGTCTCTGTATAAGTACTCAGTACTTGGCATATACTGTGTACTTGCTATTATTATTAATTTTTCTTGGTGGTGCTAGGTCTCACAAGTACTAGATAAGTGCTTTTTGACCAAGCTATACCCTCAGCCCAGTTACTATGATTTTTTTTTAAAAAATTACTCATTTGTTTACTTTTTATTAGAGAGTAAGCTCTTGATCTTTGCACTGAGCTATGCCCCACAAAAATACTTTTTAAAAATTTTGAGACAAGATCTTGTTAAGTTGCCCAGGCTGGGTTCAAACATGCAGTCTTCCTGCCTCAGTCTCCTAAAGAGCTAGGGTTATAGGTATGTGCCATCATACCTGGCTCCTGTTACTTTTTTCATTGTATTTTGTGACAGGGTGTCACTATGAAGTGCAGGGTGGTCTTGAATTCATTATGTACTTAGGTTGGCCTTGAACTCCCAGTGATCCTCTCTAGTGCTGGTACTAGAGGCATGTGCCACCACATTTGGACAGCTACTATAGCTCCCAAACACCTAGCAGTCTCTCAGAAAGTTCTAGGTTAGATGGCCTTGGAAAAATTAAGATTAAATCTCCTGTTGTTAATTATGAGGGAAAACAGCCTCTATAATTAGCAGTACTCTGGAAGGGAATTTTTCAGTATGCATATACCTTGCTCGGACATGTACAGTGCGTGATATGAATATACTGGCAAAGGTGTGCCAATACAAATATCACTAAAATATTACCATAGCAAAAACTGGAAACAACTTAAAGGTTAATCAGTAGTAGTCTGGTTAAGAACACTGTCGGTAATGGGGCATACAAGACTGTATTCTATGCAGTCCAGAAGCTGAGGCAGAATGATTCCAAGTTTAAGCCCAACCTGGGCAACTTAATTTTGTAAGACCCTGTTTCAAAATAAAAAAATAAGAGAGGGTTGGTGATGAGCTCAAAACAAAGGCCATTAGTTCAATTCCTACTACTACAGAAAAAAATGTACATTGTAGGTAAAGATATAATTCTACTAGTGCCAAAAAGGGTAAGATTGGTTGTTGCTGATATAGAAAGATCTCCATGCTACTAAGTGAAAACAAGTACAGGGCAGTGCATATTCCCTTCTGCAGAAATTAAGAGTCACATCAACATTTATGTATATCAATTTTTTTCTTAATTACTTATTTTCTTAATTTGGAAATGTGGGATGATGGCACAGAAGGAACTAACTTTTTATTTTAAAATTCTGGCATACATTCATTCAGCCAAAAAAGTCACTGGGCATTAGCTGGGCTATAGTTAGCACTTGTGGTGGATTGACAACTGGTGATCAACTTGTAACACCAGCTGAACTGAATCAGCGTGGTGCTGAGTATTGGTTTTCCTGTTTGCATGGATTCTCCTGGAGGAGCTTGTTGAGTTTCTTTCCTGACAGGAACTTGGCTATTCTCATTGTTAGAGGACCTGAGGGCCTTGTTGTTGCTGAGAATGGCTGCAGTTCACTTTTAGGGAGGTCTGGTCCTTATGTTAAGCATTGCTTTCTGGCTCCAGAGAAGAAGATGATGTGCTGCTCAGCCTCAAGGAGAAGCTATCACGCTGACTTCCTGATAGGAACTCCGCTGTTCTCATTATCAGAGGGGCTTGGGGCCTCATTGTCACTGAGGATGGCTGTGGTGCTTTTCAGGGAGATGTGGTTCTTACTTTGAGCATTGCTTCCTGGATCCAGCGCAGAACAGTAAGCCTAATGACAGATTGTTTATTCCCCTGGCACAGACTTTCTAGCTTCCACTGCTGACCTTGGGAACTTCCCAATGTGGATCTATGAAATGGACTCACATGAGTCATTGTTGTGGGCTCTAGTTCTCCAGTTGGACATATGGGAGGCATTATCATAAGCTCTAGGTCTTCAACTGAACTCATGCAGAACATTGCTATGGGATCCAGACCCTCACCTGGATTTTTTTTTTGTCTTTAAGTGTATGGAAAGATTTCCTATACTTCTTGTATTTAACTCTTTGGGTGATGATTAGAAAGTAGTTCTGTACATTATATGTCCTGTATTGTCTTTCTCCTTGCAGACCTTGACTACAACAAATTTGGCACCAGAGAAGAGGAGTCATTGCTGTGACTGTACCTGATCGTGTGGTTCAAGAGTCTTTGGGAATGACTTTTGTGGCAAGAATCCAGAAAGGTTCAGAGATGTTGTCTGAAGAAGTAGATTTGGAATGCCTTGGGATGTTCTGTATAGGAGATTCTGGTCAGAACTTAGAAGACCAGAAGGCAAACAGAAATCCTGCCAGTTCAGATCAGGTTCAGGAAGTTTCTGCTGGGAAGGACTGCATGGGCTGTTATGACTTGCAGAAAGTTTGTCTTATTTTGCTCAGGTCCAGGCTTTGCCTGACACTGAGATTAAGGAGGGTGGACTAAACTGGTAAAAGAAATTTCAAGATAGTCTAATGCTGAGGTGGTGGCATGGCTGATGTTGGGAGGTTTTAGTCAGATTTATGTTGTGAATCAAAAACAAAGAGGTCAGCTGGATGATTTAAAATGTTGTGAGTTTGGCCAGAAAGGAAACTCCAGTAAAACTGTGGACTACAAAGATAGAGAAGAGGAGATCTTAGTTGCTCAAAGGAACAAAAGAATAGAAAAGGTGGTCTGAGGGCATCACAAGAAGCAAAAGTGAAAAACCTCGCTTTGAGGAGAAAGCTGCAGAGCACCACGTTCAGAATGGTGGTGACCACACAATGTTCCAGAATGGTGGCAGTGGTTGCACCAAGTTCCAAAATGGCGGCAGCATAGAGAATCTGTTCCTTAGAATCAGGCCAGAGTGCTCAGTGATCCAGGCATTCAATCCCCACTGCCAAGAGAGAGGAAAGCCTGGCTTCAGCTGGCAGCAGACCTTGGCATCAGCCATGTGGTACTGGCAGAATGGTGCATGCAGAATGCAAGAGCTCTGAGGTTAAGATAGCTTACACCTGGATTTCAGAAAAAGACCTGGGAGGCCAGGCAGTGTGCCCTTGAGAGGACAATGTGTGAATCTGTGAGGGTGAAGCCAAAGGTACACTGGAGACTCCAGAAGTTTGGAGAAGCCAGGAATGCGGATCATCTGAGGAAACTTGCAAGGAGGGAGCAAAGCAGGCCCCAAAGAGAAGCTGTGGGAGATACAACCACTGGAAGTGCTATGGAGGGGAGCCATGAAACCCTTTGGAGCTTTACAACTTGCCACATATTGCTTTGGATGTTCGACATGGAATTATAGCACTTAATGTCTGTCCTGCTGGGCTTTGGACTTGCTTTGGTCCCATTCCTTTGCATTACCCTGTTTACATCTTTTGGAATGGGAATGTTTATCTTGTGCCACTGAATGTTGGAAGTGTTTAACTTTTCATTTGTACAGGGAGTTGAAGTTAAGAGCTTACCTTACATCGGAGAGGAGGCTTGGGACTTGAACTTTTCGGCAGCGCTGAAACTGTTATGACTCTGGCAACATTTTAAGATGGACTAAATGTCTTTTGCATAAAGGATATGCATGAGTCTTTGTGGGTCCAAGGGCACAATGTTATGACTTGAGTTTGCATGTCCCTCCAAAGCCTCATGCAGTCACAGGGGCAGGTTTCTAGAATTTGTGATTAATTCATGGTCTGATGCTGGTAATATGGGTGTGAGTGTGGCCTACATACAATATAAGGGAGGAAAAAAGTCTTCTTTACCTGCTCCTCCCTTTTTGCCTCTTGTTTTTGCTATCTTCTGCCACCATGAATTGCTGCCCTTTGCTATGAGCCACTCTGCCGTGGACCTAGCAGGTTATAGATTAAAACCTCCACAAACTGTGAGCTAAATAAACCTTTCCCTTTAATTTTGAGCACTGGGTATTTTGTCTCAGCAACAAAAGAAAAGTAATTAAGACAGTACATTATCCTTTTTGTTTTTTCATTTTCTTTTGGTACTAGCAATCAAATTTAGCACTGTGCACTTGCCAGGCAGGCACTTATGCTGCTGAGCTATATTCCTAGCCTACTTTATCCTTTTTCTGTCTGTATTAGTAAATGTTATTTAAAAAACTGCAAAGAAGCACAAATAAGTAAAAATATACTTAAATGAATCCTCTCAGGTTTCAGTGAAGAAAAAAAAGCTTACAGATACTTCATATAAGGTAAATTCGTCTGTCCTACTATAGTTTTTCTTGGAATTTAAGATCTGTTCAAAATATCTTACATGGACAACTACAATATTTTCTAATCACTAGTTATTATTTCTTGTAAGTAATGAGAAGAGACTTTTGAGGCAGCCAGGCCAATGTTTATTGATTAAAGTCTGTTTTTAATGTCTAGCAGTTTAACTTACTAAGCAAAATAACTTACAACAAATGAAATTACTGAAACATGAACATCAGAATTTAAGTGGATTGTCTGGGCATGATGGTACATGCCTGTAATCCTTGTACTAGGGAGGCTGAGACAGGAGGATCACTGCAAGTTCAAGCCCAGCCCGGGCTACATAGGGAGTTCAAGGCCAGCCTGGGCTACACAGTGAGATCTTGTCTCAAAAAAAAGAGAAGGAATTTTTTTTTTTGTCTTTTTTGTTTTTATCAGTACCGGGAATCGAACTCATGACTTCCTGCTTGCAAGGCAGGTGCTTATGCCGCTGAGCTAAATCCCCAGCCCCCAAAAGAGAAGGAATTTACATAGACTGACATAATGTGAGAAACATAAACTGTGCTGATTTATAACATCATAACAGAATTAAAAAGCTTACATTGTAATCTTAATACTTATTTTGAAATGGTACCTTCTCTTAGTTGTGAAACTTATTACTTGTACCCAAATTTACTAATTGCATCATTAATACACTATTTTATGATTATTTTCTTAAAGATTAATTATAAAAATGGCTAATTTTTCCCAATCAAAGAAAAAAGGATAGTCACAAAAGCTTATGGCTGTAGCAGGTTCACAAACAGAGAAAAACACAGAGCTAACAGCAATGTCACTTCAAGATGACTGATTGTAGTTAACACCGAGTTTCCTGGTTTCTCATACTTGGATATTAAAATCATTTTATAATTAAAAGTGGTATCAATTCCCTTCTTTTTTTCCACAAAAGATTTAAAAAACTTCATCTAGACCTAGGGATGTAGCTTAGTGGTAGGGTGCTTGCCTACCTAGCATGTTCAAGGGTTTGAGTTTGATGCCCCAGCCTTGCAAAAACAAAACAAAGCAAAAATTTAAAATCTATCACAATGATATGGCACAATGGTATGTGGCACAATGATATGTAAATGTTATTCTTTACCTCATGGTATTGATGTACATGTTTGCCATAGCAGAATTCATATTTCCACCAACCAACACCCTAAAACAAACAAAATATATTAGATCAAGTTATACACACAGAAGGAGAGAATGAGGGCTTGATTTAATATTGCCACAAGACAGTGATGCAAATATAGGTGCATACTTTTATGACCTGCAAGAGAAATAGTATGGTTGAAAATTGAAAATCTCTAGAAATCTGAAAAGAGAAAATATGAAGAGCTGTTGCACTGCTTTGATAAAGTAAAGAAAAATTCTACTTGTAAGCACATTTCTCACTGGTGCTATTATGCAGAGGCTAATTTTACTTTTGTGATGGGAGATGTTAATTTGGATTTAAGTTGTGATTGGTATAAAACCAAACTGTAGGTGCTATAATCACTGATGCCAATTTCAGCAATCAACCAGAATTACACATCATGGCCAGAGGAAAGGTCAACTTTCACCTTGTGTATACAGAGAGGACAATGGCTATAGATTATAAAGATGCAGCAGTACAAGAATGCAAGAGAAAATGTAAACTAGTCTGGCAAGATCCCATCATTTCTCTTTAGACAAAAATCTGCTGCGGTGCTCCTAACACCCACGGATAACTGACAAGTGAAAGTTTTAAAATAAATATTTAAACTGAAGGTTCACTTCTCACCCCATGAAAGCAGTAAGAACCACTAAGGAATTCTTTTATAAGTTGGTCATCTGTCAGTTTGGATATGTGGGTTGTTCCGACAGTGAGCACTGGCTGAGAGCCAACAGCAATAGGCTTGTGGATGGCTGGAAACCTTTCTTCTTTAGTTGACTGCAAATCTTCCTAAAATTAAGCAGACATATGTTTAATGGTATTCATGCTACACTGAATTATTTTTGTTGTGGCTTAAATTATTATTTTTAAAGTGTAGAAAATTTGAAAAATATGTTTTCCATTTTTAAAAATGTATTTTAAGAAAATCAGTTTTTCTAAAGAGCATAATCAAAGATGGGACAATAGGAAACAGGGAGAAGAAGACCAAAAGACAGAGGGAGGGGAAGGGAAGTAAAAAAATAGTACGTATTATGTACACGCACCAACTTCTCATGACGAATGTAATGTATTGCAAACATGTAATAAAAATAAAAAATAAAGTGAACTTTGCAAAGTAAGTGTATGCTGGGCATGGTAATGCATGCCTGTATCCCTAGCACTCAGAGGAGTTTGAGGCTGGTTTAGGATACATAGTGAATTCAAGGCAGCCTGAGCTACATAGCGAGACCCTGTCTCAAAACAAACAACCCAAAAAACAAAAGCCCAGAATATACAGAAAGCTCCAGAAAGGAGCTTAAGGAACGTAGAGATAATAGAACATAGACAATTTTCATCTATATATTTGGTTTCATGGTTCTTATTTTACTTGTTAGGCTTTATGTTGCTGCATTTAACTTTAAGAAGTGTTCATTTAGGGTAAAGGAAGGATAACAAGAATGCTAAAGAGAAGCTGGCTGATAATGAGTAAGAATATTAGAACAATTATTCAAATGCAGCAGAACATGGCTGCTGCCCTAGAGAAGCCTGCAATTTAGTTGGGGAGATACAGGGATCCTTTTAAACTAGGAAGAGCACAGGAAAACCAGACTCACAGAAGAATGATTCAAACAGACTCCGACAAAAAACGGAGCTATGGAAACCTCACAAAAGGAAAACCCTTGATCATTTCCTGAAACATGAACAATAATTTGTGATTTATTATATACTTGTGAATGTGTGTATGCATATGGTAACTTAAAAAAGAGGTAAGAGCAAAGATGAGGGGTCATAATATTTAAAACTAAAGAGACTAGCAGGCACTATTGGTGATCTGGAAGGTGATCTTTTTCCCTTGTTTTTCCCTTTTCTTTCTGCTTCCTGGCTACGATGACTTGAGCAGTTCAGCAGCTTTCCTCCATAGGAGGCCCTTCCATCATGCCAGATGATTATGGTCTCAAATCTCTAAAAACTGTGAGTCCAAATAAACCTCTCCTTCTTTACATTGTGGGTGCTGGGTAATGTGTCTCAGTGATGAGACAGTGAGGCTCCTAAGGAATTCGTATAATGAATACTATGTCTTCTTTTTCTGTACTGTAGTTGCCACTAACCAATTGTGGTTCTTCTGCTTCTATTTCTGCTTGTAGTGGTCAGTGAAGGTTAATCTCCTGGAAACCAATGGTTGTCTGTCTTTCTATTTTATGAATAAGGACTGCTAAAGTGGTGTCTTCTGTGTTTCTGAAAGGATCTTCAACTTTACTGTATAACTTTATCCACATTCAGAGCATATTATAAATTAACTCCTAACTAAATAATATTTCCTGGCACTAAGTATTGAGTATCAAAAGTGAAGCAGACATAGTCACAACTCCTAAGGGACCACAGTCTGAGAGACTAAACTAAACAGAGTAACAAAAACCTTTAGTAAAGCTAATGGAAAGCAGGCCAGGGTTGTGGTTCAATGTTGCAGCACATGCCTGCCAAGTTCGAGGCCCTGAGTTTGATTCCTAGTACAAGAAAAAAAAATAATAAAGTTAATGGAAAGAAATAATTAACATTGCATAGCAATGCTGAGGTGAGGGGAAAAGATTAAAGGAGGGGAAAAGAATAAAGGAGGCTTTATTGCTTTCCCGGGCAAAACACCTAAATTATTCCAACAAAAATATATGTAATATGGTAACAATAGTTTGAGAAGTTCTAAGATGAACTAATAGTAGCTGAATTAATCTCTAAATCAGTGTGAAATGATTTAGGGAGAACATCAAATCTAAAGTCTAGTAAACAGATTTGTACTACTATTATCACTATAATTACCATTCCTGGGGATTGAATAGTGCTTTTGCACTGAGCTACTCCAACCCCAGTTGTTTTCTATTTTGAGACAGTATCTTACTAAATTGCCCAGACAGGGTTCAAGCTTGTAATCTTTCTGCCTCAGAATGGTGAGATTATAGATATGTACCTTCAAGCCTGGTTTAGATTTGTATTTTTGTTTAAAATAGTAAGAAAAAAATTCCTCATTTGTATGGTAACACTTGATCCATACTTAAGAAGCAAACTGTATGCCAAATATATGTTTTATTTTTTCCCCAATACACATTTTTAAGAGAAGAGTTATGTGTAATACATTTATTCTGATCAGATTTTTTTTAGTGGGTAGTAGTGGGGATTGAACTCTTGGCTTTGTGCATGCTAGGCAAACACTCTATCACTGTGGTTCATTCCTAGTCCTTTGTTAAATTTTACTTTGAGACATGGTCTCATTAAGTTGCGTAGGCTGACCTCTAACTTGTAACCCACCTTTCAGAGACACAGAAGACACCACTTTAGCAGTCCTTATTCATAAAATAGAAAGACAGACACCATTGGTTTCCAGGAGATTAACCTTCACTGACCACTACAAGCAGAAATACAAGCAAAGAACCATAATTGGTTAGTGGCAACTACACTACAGAAAAAGAAGACATAGTAATTAGAATGACACGGGTGTACCACCCTAGTCAGCTCTGATCAGTTTTAAGTGACCACTCATCTGGTGGTAGCACATAAAATTTTCGAATGGAACATAGAAGCCGAAGATCCTGAATATTTTTTGTTTTTTTTTTTTTAACGGTACCGAGGATCGAACTCACGACCACCTGCTTGCAAAGCAGGTGCTTATGCCACTGAGCTAAATCCCCAACCCTGATCCTGAATATTTTGAAAGGACTATCATTTGTAGCTTTTGAAAAACTAATTTTTCTCAACTGACAGATTAAACACATTTATTTGAAGAAAACCAAACGGGCACTTTTCCGCTGAAGAATAATAAAAGTTGAGATTTGTGAAGCCTTTTGACCAAGCTAACTCTTCAGTACTTAGATCATAATTGACCAGAGAATTTCAGCTCAAATCTTTTGGTATGGTACTCCAAATAAAAATAAAACCATGCAATAATGTTAAGAGCACTTTTCTTCCTACAGATCGACAATGCTGGTCACAGCACTCACAAGGAGCCCAATATAATTTTTTGTAAAAAGGATTGTGGAAGAAGAGAAAACATAGGTGTCATTATCTTAGTACAATTATTGTTAAGTATCAGCAGCATTCTAGGCATTCTGCAAAGTACTAGAAGTATCAGCTTGGATGTTTATTTTAGAAAGAGCATTTTATTAGCCATGTGAGAAAGATCAGAAAGCAGATTTGTAAAAAGACTGGTTTTTGATCGTAAGAAATAATGAACTCTTAAATTACTACTAAATCTCATTCGAGATTGATTTAAAAAACATTTAAAAGACAACAATAATGGCTCTTAGTGACTGATTATAGTTAGAGATAAATGAAGATAGGCAAGATAAATAGATTGGGTAGAACACAATGCTTTAAAAACTTTGGAGACTGGGTGTGTTGACACATACTTGTAGTCCCAGCAACTCTGAGGAGGAAGGAGGACTGGCTAACATGGGCTACACAATGCGCTCCTGAGTTCAAGGTTAAGTTGGACTACATAATGAGACTCTGTCTCAAAAGAAAAATACAGCAGAGCTGCTAAGGAAAAAAATCTTCTATGTGAGATGACTGAAAATGTACATGGCTATGTACAACAGGCAGATAAAAAGGAAAGGAAAAGGGAGAAGCAATGTTCAGAAGTTGTTAAAAGACAGCAATAAGTTGAAGGATAAATAAAATGTGAGGAGATAAAACTGTATTCTAGAAAAAAACAGCTATAGCAACTGCCTAAAAATTTAACTACAATGCACAGGATGTCAAACTTTAAAATATTCTAAAATTATTAGTATAGGAGAATGCTAATGTTAAAAACACTTTTGAGGGGGCTGGGGATTTAGCTCAGCGGCACAAGCGCCTGCCTTGCAAGCAGGCAGTCGTGAGTTCGATCCCCGGTACCAATAAAAAGGAAAAAGACCAAAAAAAATTTTTTTTAAAAAGTAAAATAATTTAAATCAATGAAAAGAACTGGAATTTAAAATTTTGAGCCAATGAAAACAAATTGCTACTACTACACTATAAAAATCATTATGATACTGATATATTTTCTGAAATTTAGAAAATGAAGCACTAAGAAACTACTATTAGAAAATTCTCATACCTCTTTATTTCTTCTAAAAGGCACCCTTAGTATTTCTTCCTGCTGTTCCAACTGTCTCAGAGTGAGGGGTTTAAATGGAGATCCTGGCAGTGATTGGCAAAATATGTCATTCACAGGAGATGCTCTAAACCTAGTCAGTTAGAAGAAAGATTAAAGCTAAGCAAAGAATACTTTAAAGCCTGCAGAATTGTATGTTTAAAATATTAAATATACATCCTACCTATATTTAGGGTGATTGCACAAGAGCGGTGTCAAAATGACAACTTCATATTCACAAGTTGTAACTTCAGCTACTGAAAGAATTTCATGCTTAGATTCGGGATGACATATGTACATTAGGGTACTTGATCTGGGCCGGTTCTGTTTCAAGCTACAAGGTGTACCATTTCCCATTCCCACAGGATAGTAGGGTGTCATCTGACCTTCAATATTTTTAGTGGGAATCTTTAAAAGACAGTACAGACGTTTCATTAGAAATTGAGAAATTGAGAATGGGAGAAGAAGCATTTATTATTCTGAAAGGAAGAAAGACATTTTATTTATAAACAGAAAGATAACATTTCTGTATTTTAAGTTCATCCTCTAATGTTCTGATTTGTAAGATCTTATTCGAGCAAATACATATGACTAAAATTAAGACATTAAGCCAATATACATTTATATAAAGGGCTACAATATCAAGTTAATATGAATTATTTTCAGTAATTCCAAAGAAAGAGACTAAGATAGATATAAAAACTTACCATATTGGGTCGTTGAAACTTTCTTCACTAAATACTCAGTAAATGAATAATTGAGAGTTTAAATTCTACAAGCCTGAAAAGGCTGATTTGTCAAAATGCAGGGCTAGACAGTAAAACATTACTGTACAAAAAAGGAAATCTAAATATTCTACTGGTACATGTAACTGTTTATTCTTTTTCTGTTATCAACAACACACGCATTTCAACATATAAAATCCTATGTAATCTATTCTAGTCTAGCAAATGACAAATTAAGAAATTTTCATGGAATAGGGGAATAAAGGATAGATATATCTGAAAAGCCAATGACTGTTAAGGCGTTAGCTTTCATGCTATATAAACACACACAAAAAACATCTAATGTAGGAGCTTTAAGACACTATTCAAAGCATCTCTAAGCAGGCCTTAGAGGCAGGGAGCTCATCTTGCATCACTCTGGTACCCTGCCAGTGCCATATTCAAAACAGGAGAAAAGTAAATGTTTCATGAGAGGAATATCTTGCAGTTTCCTTTTATGCGACTTTTGTGCTATTATTCAAAATTACGAGAATCCTAGGTTCAAAGCTTTGAGTTAATTAGCTTTATGATCTTTATTAAATTTCATTTTGTCATTTATAAAAGTAGTATAATAAAGGCTCAGAGGGGCTGGGGATTTAGCTCAGCAGCATAAGTGTCTGCCTTGCAAGCAGGTGGTCCTGAGTTCGATCCCCAGTACCAATAAAAAGGAAAAAGACCAAAAAAAAAAAAAGACAAAAGATAAAGGCTCAGAGACTGTTGGAAGTATTAAACATCAGCTTTTGTGAAACAGTGTTTGGCTTATAAATTGGGCTTAGTTAATGTTAGGTCTGCATTTACTCCTTTTTTTCTCTTCATTTATTCTTTTACACTTTGAGTTCCAATTTGCTACTGTCCAGAGTGAAAATAAATATTTTATTTCAAAGGGAGCAATCTTTCTTTCTTTCTTTCTTTCTTTCTTTCTTTCTTTCTTTCTTTCTTTCTTTCTTTCTTTCTTTCTTTCTTTTTCAGTACTGGGGATTGAACCCAGGGCTTCTGCACCGAGCTGCATCTCCAGCCCCTTTTTAATCTTTTACTTTGAGACAGGGTTTCACTAAGTCATTAAGTTGCCCAGGTGAGGCTTTAACTTGCAATCCTGCTTAAGCCTCCCAAAGTTCGAGGTCTTCAGGCTACTATGCTGGATAAGATTAAAACCTTTTAAAACAGTAGTGCTATGTGTGCTTACTCTTAGCTTATCAATTCCCCTCAAAAAACTCCTGTTAAGTTACAAGCATCCCTATTAAGAAACTTTCAAGGCCTCTGTCACTTAATTTTACTTTGAATAAAAGTATCATGATACCAAGTCTTTTTCAGAAACAGTCTCATGTGGTGTCACATGCTTGTAATCCCAGCACCTGGGAGGCTGAGGCAGGAGTTTTGCTGCGAATTCAAGGACAGCCTGGGCTCCATAGTGAGTTCAAGTCCATTCTGAACTACATAGTACGATCCTGTCTTAAAAAAAAAAAATTCTTAGGATTTAAAAAGCTCTTCTGGGAGCCCCAGGAGTGATGGTACATACCTATAACCGGCAGACTATGACAGGAGGATTGGGAGAGTTCAAGGCCAGTCTGGTCAACGTAGTGAGATCATATTTCCCCCCAAAATATATGGGTGTCTGGAAATAAATGAGTATCTAGAAATTTTGATTATAATCTTTGAGGGATCATTCTTTTAAAATGTATTATTTTATCCTTCATTTATCCATTCATTTCATCAACATTTATGAAGTGCCTACAATATGTCTGGCAGTTGCTTTTGCACTGTGGATTGAAGAGATAAAAGAGTTTCTACTTTTAAAATGCTTGCAATCTGGTTGCTTGTTATTTATGAATACTATTTATCCATTTCACTCACAAGAGATTGGGAAGAAATGAGAAAAAATTTAAAAGCAATTTATAATTGTTTCTAATATTAAGTAGAAAGAGCCACTACCAAGCACTAACGTGACATAATGGTGGTACAGAATCTTTCCTGCACAAGATTTTTTTTTTTTTTTTGTCTTTTTCTTTTTTTATCGGTACCGGGGATCGAACTCACGACTGTCTGCTTTCAAGGCAGGCGCTTATGCTGCTGAGCTAAATCCCCAGCCCCTAAGATTTTTTTTTTTTTGAGACAGGGTCTTTGCTATGTAGTTTAGGCTGGCCTTGAATTTGCAGTGATCCTCCTGCCTCAGCCTCCTGAATGCTGGGATTACTGGCATGTGGCACCATGCCTGGTTCCTCATATACAATATTAGCAGATCTTTTTATTTAGGTATGAGTTTAAAAAAAGTAAATAGATCATGGTGTAACTTTGGAAAGCTAAACATATAGTAAATTTTTGATCTAACCCTTTGAGGTAATGGATAATGAAAACACAAGGCTATACTTTTTCAGCTGAATTGTATAAATTAATACACTAATAATAAATGTTAAGAACAAAAACGAGCATTTGTCACTTGCCTCATTTAATTTTTCTTTTTCTTCTGCTTCTTGTTCTGTGGAGTAATGCAAGAAGAATGTAAGTGTAAAGAATGGGGAGTGACACAGATAAGGTCTAAGTAACTAAATTCTCAACCAAGTTTGTAACCTTAAACTTCTTTCTAAAGATCTAAAATACACATGATTTTTGGGTTTTTTTTGGGAGGAGGTGGTGCTCTGGTTGAAAACCAAGGCTTTGTGTACTGTAGGCCAGTGCTCCATCTGTGAGCTACACCTCAGCCCTCCTGTACCATTTCAGCTGCCATGGAATGGTTTTTAGGAGAGGATGTGCACATTCACTCTTTCATCTTTACCTATGAATACTCCACTTCATGCAAACATTTTCATTTCAGTGGAAAGCTATGTTTTTAATTCAATCTGAGCAATATAGATTAAACAGACATATTTTACCATGTGTGGGATACATCTTTTTCCATATTCAAAAACTGTTTAAACCAAGTAAAAGATTAACTATATAAATGTAACACTAACATGTATATCCTATCAGATAAAAAAAAAATTCACTAATAAGTATAATGCTGCCAAAACAGAAAATAATGAGAACAATGGCTTCTTCAAAAAAGTTTTCTAAGGTAAAATTCATAAACTTATCATAGTGTTTTAAAATTCTGTTTTCAATAAAATCTCTTAAATGTCAATCTTAATATAAATATTAAACCAAACTTGAGTATTACTATCAAATCACTGTGTAAAGACCAACCTTTTTCAGATAGTAGGTTCTTAGCCAACATGTTTCCAAGGTAGTACTCATGAACATTTATTTTCTATATTAAGAAAAAATACAATAAGTTATTTTGCAAATGTATTTTTAAGGATACAACTTTAAGCTATCAATTTCATTATGAAATTTTTCATTTTATGCTTTTTCACTTTATATTTTTAAGAAAATCATACCTGACCAGTTTCTTTCTCTTCATGGTATTGTCGGATATGTTTTCCATGACATACTTCGTAAGTCCAGTAAGATTCAATCTAAGGAAGATGAATGTATTTAAATATATAAGAGACATATAACTCAACTGTGTTACTTTTTAGTATTTTAAGTAATTCAGAAAATTTCCTTAACATTTATAGTACTCTTTTTTTAACTGATACTGATAATTACTTTTTTTATTTCTGAGGCAAGGTATTGCTATATAGTTCAGGCTGGACTTGAACTCACGATATAGTCCAGGTTAGCCCTGAATTCACAGTCCTTTACCTCAGACTCCCAAGTGCTGGGATTACAGGCATGTGCCACCATATTAAGATGACTTATAATTATGTCTCAGAAAAATGTGTAATTTCTGGTCTTATTTTCACTAGTTATATGTGAGAATTATGTAAAAAGAAATATATGTATATATATCCAGAATATATTTGGGTATGTACTAACTACCTGGCTTAGGAATATTTTTTATAGCTTAAAAATCAATAATTAATATTTTTAATGGAAAAAATAATTTTAATGAAAATTTTATTAGGTGAGGAAACTCTTCTCCGCTGAAAGTATTCCTAACAGTTTGGAAAATGATTTAAATTTTCTTTATTTTGAGACAGCGTTTTATGATGTTAACCAGGCAGTCCTAACTCATAATTTACAAGAGTGTACCACCACATCCAGAAAGTGATAATCTGACATTAGTATCACTGAGTGTCTGTGCGTATACTACACAAGAATTTAAGTGAACAAAATACTATTAAGCAACAATTTAAATTGGTACCGAACTTAAAAAAATGGTATCGTAGGAAGACATGCTTAAGTGATTTCAAGGGTCTACTGGTTGCTGGAGATTTATTTTCTAGTTATCAAATGAAGAAAAAATACATACCCTGTAAGAACAACTGCTTTGTTTAAACAGTGGTTCCAAAAGCTCTCTTGGATTAGGACCTTTATAATCTTTTTCTTCCTCCTAAGAAAGATTTGGAGTTAAACACTTTACAATTTTTCTACAATTTCACCCAATTCTGCTGTTTGAGTATTAACTCATTGGTTAAATCACAAATGCTCAGAAACAAAAAAAGGGAAAAAGTAAAAAAACTTCAACAAGATTTCATGGCATCCACTTCTTTCAAATGAATTGAAGTATAAAATATGGAGCCACAGAGTAACGTTTTTGGCTATTTGTTTTTTGAGGCATGATCTTGCTATGTATTTCAGGTTGGTCTTGGGCTCACAATGATCCTTTTGTCTGTCTTGCAAAGTGTGTATCATGATTCTTTCTTCTTCTTCTTCTTTTTTTTTTTGTTTTTCTGAGATGGGTCTCACGTTGTAGTGCAGGTTGATCTTGAACTCATTATGTAGCCCAGGCTGACTCAAACTTATGGCAATCCTCTGCCTCAGCCTCCTGAGGGACTACAGGCATATACCACTATGCATGGCTATTTCTTCTTTTTTTTAAAAAAAGGCTTCTAAGCATTAGTTATCTAAACAAATTTTACAAACCCATTTTTAAATGCTTCTATCTGAACTAATTCTAGGTATGAAAGTCTCAAAATGGTTGAAACTTGCAAAGTTTCAAGGTACTTTCAGTTTCCCATTTATTTTTTACACTTCAAACCTGAATGCTAAATGTATGTTAAGTTCTCTGTGTGTACATTTGTCTTAGAAGATTTAAGACAAAGTGAAACAGCTGTCTTAGACTTCAAATTGGAAAAAAATTTAAGTACTGATTTTAATTTTCTCTTTTACAGGTCATGAAATAATTATATAACTGGCTAATGGATTTATGTAGTAGAGGAATGGAGTTTCAAATCTGTTCAAGGTTCTATAGCTAACTGTGGCCTATCCCTAAGCTCCAGGCTCCTAAATTGGTCTTTTCTATTTACCAGACTGCTCTCCTGCTTCATCCTGACAGTAGTCACTACCTTAAAGGATGGCTAGAAGGCAATTAGGGTATTTTAGGAGAAAATAAAGGGCAGGAGCAGATAGTGAGAAAGCCGCAAGTCCTTATAAACTTAAAAGAAGAAACTCTGTGGAAGTGTCACATATGCATCTGGAATTTGTATCTTGTTTTACACCCTCATTTTTGCAAGAAAGCAAGCATTTTCATTCAAAACTAACTCTTTTAATTTTTAAAAAATGAATAGCAAATAATTTAGGAATAATAAAAGTGATTAATATTTTTATGCTAAAACAGTGACATTCAATAAGAATTTCATTACTAAATTTTAGAGTATGTAGTTCTGATATTTAAATAAATAATTTTGGTGACAAGGATTATTATTACATTTGTGAAAACTGACCTCATCCCCACTTGTTACAAGGGGCAGTATACATTTATATTTTTCTTTATGTGCAGTTGTCATGATGACGTAGTTATCTTCTTTATATAAAACTCCAGTTGTGGGCTAGAAATAGAACAGAAAATATACATTACTTTTTTCAGTTAAATTGCATTGAACAAGTTCAGTCCTAGCTAGAACAAACATTCCTCAAATTAATTTATCATTTCAACAGAAGATTTTAAAGACGTATTTTCAAAGGTAAGGAAGAGTTACACATTTTTATATCACAAAATAACCTTTATCCCGATGCAACAATAAAAATATATACAAAGTCCTTAGTAAAAACAAAAAAAGTTGCAATATAATAGGCTGATGTGAAGCTCCTGACTACAAAGCAATGAAATACTACTTAACAGGCAGTGAAACTTCTGTTTTATTGAGGTGGTCCTGGAGATTGAACCCAGAGCCTGGTGCATGGTAGGCATATGTTCTACCTCTGAGCTACATTCATATTGTTTATTGTGTATTTTGAAACAGGGTATCAGTAAATTGGTTTCCAACTTGGGATCCTCTGCCAAATTACCGGGATGTACTGCAGCACCCACCTGAAATCTTTGATTTCTGATATGTATTCTATGACAAACAATTTTCTTTTTGTGTACTAAGAAAATTGTGTATAATTTTCTTTAGTGTACTATGAAAACACTGGACTCTTTGTCTATTCCCAGCAAGGAAAGATTCACTTTCCTTATGTATATATCTTACCAAATATAATAAAATCACTCTACTTGGACCAGTGGAATCCTAAACACAAATACAAATTAGGATAATGCTTTCCCAAGACACACACACCTTGCGGCAATAAGTATGAGTTCTATTTGTAATACTACAGTAGTTGACTGGTACCCTGGAAGGCTGGTTCCAGGACCCCGAATATCAAAATCCACACATGCTCGAGTTTCTTATATAAAATGCATATAACTTATGTAGACCTTCCTTTATACTTAAAATCATCCCTACATAACTTACCAATAACCAATGTAAATGTTGAGTATATTTGTCATGATTTTTTGCTTAGGAAATATAAAGGAAAAATAAGTCTGAACTTGTTCAGTATAGACTCAGTTTTTTCCCCCTGAATATTTTTATTTGAAGTCTGCTGAATCCACATATACGGACCCCTGCAAGTGGAAGACGAACTGTACTGTTTTAAGTGATACATATTTATTAACTCATGAACCTTCAGAACAAGCATCATACAGTGTTCATTTTCATAGAAAAGGATAGTAAGTCACAGAATTTAAATAATTTTTTCAAAGTAACAGCTCAAAATAGTAGAGCCCAGCAAACCTAAGCAGATTGGCTTCATACGCTATGTCAAATTTTAACACATTTTAGTCAGTTTTATTAACATTTTATTTAGTTTCTATATAAATTTCTAATTTCTGGCCAAGCATCCTTCTTTAAAAGACCACAGGATGGGGATGTTTGCCTAGCACGTAATAATGCCCTGGGTTTGATTCTCAGTACTGCAACAGAATGAAACACAAAAAGCCATTTTAAGTGATAAGGGAATTAGAATTGAGATAGTTGCAAAATTAAATTGTTTTTCAGTGTTTCTTGGAGATACTTAGAACATTTCAGAGTGACTTGTGTAAAGCACGAATCATTCATTTAGCAATGGGTGCCCTGAAGTCTTGTCAAATCATTTTTCTTTTATAATGAAACTAGTGACTAACCCAGGGGCTTGGCAAATGCTAGACAAACACTCTACCACTAAGTAATATCCCCAGATTTGAAATTCTGAGATAAGATCTTTCTGAATTGAGCAGACTGTCCTTGACTTTCTCCTGCCTTAGTCTCCTGATAGCTGGATATATGCCTCTACACGAGGCAAATAACTTATGAAAATGTCTTTGTTATATAGTTTAAGCTGTTCTTAAAGTCACTATGTGGCCCAGGCTGGCCTTGAACTCTTGTCAATCCTCCTGCCTCAACCTACTAAGGATTACAGGTGTGCACGACCACGCACAACAGGGCAGGTTATTTTTAATACTGCAATGAAGACAGTAGCAAAGGACTTAAATGTTTTCATGTCTATTTGTGAACTACCTGCAATGCTGATGTTGAGAGCTGAACCCTACATCAAATATTGACTGACCTACTAAAACGTTAAAATGGAAAACTGAACTGCTTATTTGGAACAACAGCAAGAAAAGGGTGACACTTTTTGATGCAAAGTGTTTTATTTGTTTGGGAAAGTCTGCTTTTCTCTGCACTAAGGCCAAATAACAATTCTACCCAAAAGTTGTGCAGTGAGTCACTTATTGCAGTGGTCACTTATCACCAGGTATAATTTTAATCAATTTTACTTATCTATTTTTTTTTCTTTGAGACAGGGTCTCAATGTGAAGTTCAGACTGGACTCAAATGCAGTGATCCTCTTGCCTTAGCCTCCCAAGGGCTGGGATTGCATGTGTTCACTATGACACCTGGCTACTCTACTTTTTAGTAACAGAGGTTACTGAGGCAGTTAATGCTGTTTTCTAACATTTTTTTTGTTGTTGTTGTTCTGTTTTGTTTTTTGGGTATCAGGGATCAAACTCACAACCTCACACTTGCCAGGTGAGTGCTTATGCTGCTGAGCTAAATTCCCGGCCCTAATTTTAACTTAAAATTTTCAGCTTACAGAGTAATACCTACTTATGATTTAATATAACATTGAATTTTAATACAATGGGGTAGAAACCAAGATAGCGGAGCAGCAAGCAGCAGAGAAAACAGCCTTTTGGAGAGTTGCTGTCCAGATGCTGCAATTAACATTGTGTGGAGGACAAGAATGAGAGAAGAGGGTCCATTGGACCCTGGAAGAATCTGAAGTGTGAACTGATGCCTACAGAGTGAAGAGAAAAACCTCAAAAAATAAGGAGGTAGCTAGAGGTGCCTGCTCCTTCAGATGGGACTCACTGTGTGAAGGGGTGGTTTGAACTCGTGGGTGCATGGTCACAGTGACAGTGACGCCTGGAGACCGTGGATGCTTGTGCAGAGAGACGTGGCAGTGGAGGGGACCAGCAGACAGGGAGGACTGCACTAGCTGGCAGTGAGTGCAGAAGACTTAGTCCTCTGGTGGGAGACAGCAATTGGCTGAGAGCCATCCTGGAGATGGCTAGCTGAACTCAGAACCCAGAACTGCTGCCAGCTCCATATAGTGGCTCCCAACTGCGCTTAGACCTGTGGAAACCGCTTGGGCGACAGCAAGCCCAATGTGCACAGTCTCAGAGCCAACCTGCTAAGATTATCTACTACCTCCCCCAAAAGCTACTGCTGCTTGCTGGGATAGACTGGCATGAGTAGGAACTCTGTCTCCCCAGGGTGTCTACTAGTGAAACTAGAGAGAACCCTGGAAGTGGACAGTTTGTTTTTCTTTGGCTTTTAAAACTTGTTTTCTCAGGGCCAGGGATTTAGCTCAATGGCACAAGCACCTGCCTCGCAAGTGTGAGGTTGTGAGTACCACAAAAAAAATTATTTTCTCTTCCTTTCACATTGTTTTTATATGAGTCTGAACATGGTCCCTATTCTCTATGTGGGTGTGATTCTGTTCTGTTCAGCCTTTTGTCTCTTCCATCTCTTTTTCCTTCAGTCTTATGCACCAGTTTCCCCTAGTTGGCATGACCTCCTTTTGTCCTCCAATCTTACTTCTAATCTCTTCTTCTTTTTCCAGTTCTCTATTTTCTCCTTAATCCATTTTAAATTTTAACCTCTAAAGGCAAAATTGACACATTAACGACTTTCATATTACATATAATTTTCTGATTTAATTTTGTTATGTAATCACAAATCTAGTTCATACAGTTAAAAGTGGCAAGTTAAGGGTTAGCCCGGTTGTTGTTTTCTAGGCTGTGTTTGATGCTATTGGTACTACTGTAGCTAAACTGACAGCTGCTGGTCCTGGTATTCCAAAAATGAGATTGATAAAGGTCCCCCAAAATACTACGGCACAGTGTCAAAGAACTAGGGTCCAGGCCAAACAAGCAACAATGTCTCATCTCCAACAAACTGAAGAGGTGAGATCTTCCAACAGACTCAAAACCCCAAAACCACCTACACCTGGAAAATAACCTCAGAGAAGCAGTCATTACCTAAGAGTCCTATCACATACTACCAATAAAATATTGCTTATGGAAAAGAAAATGAGAAGACACTTAAGCAAAATGCAATCCCAGTCATCCAGTTCATCAAAGGCAAATGAGCCTCCCCCCAGGTCTCTCTGAAGTGGTAACAATAAAGCAACTGAAAGAGGTTCTGGAAAAAATGAATCAGAAATAATCTCTCAGATAACTACAGAGATTACCAAAATATACATTATGTTTAATATTAGAGCAGACACAGACAAAAAATAGATGAGCTTAAAAAAATTATGGAAGCTCAGCACAGGCAAGAATGGAATCCACAAAGCAGATTCAAGCAGATATCCAGGAGAATAAAACTCCAATGAATGTATCTGAAGCAGATTAGACTAATGAGGACAGGATGTCAGATACTAAAGACAGGCTTATAGTTACTGACAGGAAAAGAAAGATTTCTCCAAAATAGTAAGGGACCATGAGAAATCAATACAGCAGATGCAAGATGAGACAAAGAAAAATAATTTGTTTGATTGGAGTCAATGAACAAGCAGGAGGTAACACTAATGACATTAAAAAATGTTCACAGATGTCATGGCAGAAAACTTACCTGGTAAGAAAAGAGAATTTGACATCCAGATAAGCAAGGCATTAAAGAACTACAAATTGTAATAATAAAAAAAAAATATAGCCAGGCATATCATAGTCAAGATTCCAGAACTTCAACACAAGAATAAAATCCTAAAAGCTGTTAGAGAAAAGAAACAAATCAGCTATAAAGAAAAACCCATCAGAATCACAGCTGACTTCTCAGCACAAACTCTCAAGTTAAGGGCTTGGAGTAGAATAATCCAAGTTCTAGAGCAAAACAACTTTCAACTCATATTGAGGTACCCCACAAAACTATCTTTCAAAATTGATGGAGAAATAAGATATTTCCATGACAAAGAACATCTCAGGAAATTTATGAGCACCAAACCTGCACTCCAAAATGTTCTG